AAAATGGACAAAATGAAGAACGATGTAAAAAAAGGAAAAATATAAAAAAGAAAAAAACTGCAGTCAGGAATAAAGAATGAAATACTTTCTATGAAGAATGTCTATACCCTTATTATTATTATTATTATTATTTACTGGTAATTACAATCTGCTCTTGAAAATGGTACTTCTGGGAAAGTTTTATTTCCTCTTGGTAAACCTGTGAGAAAAACTTTCAGAGCTGATGGCTCCAGTGGGTCATCCACATTCTTTCAAGGGGCAAACAAAAGTCTCCCACAAGAAGATAAAATCTACACAGAGCAGCAACCTGGAATCTGCTTATCTTTATAAGAGCTCCAATCTAGAGTGTCCTCCAGTGGATGGCAGAAGAGTACATCAGTTCTTCAGATCTCTAATGTCAGGTTATGAGATCTGAACCCAGGGCCCTCGACCCTCTCTATCGGGCTCCCCAGGTGGACTGTGATACACAGTGGGTACTTAACAAAAATGCGTTGATTCAGAGACTCACAAGGATGGCACTGGGAGGAAGCCTAGCACAGCTGTGACATGCAGATTCTGGAATCAGGCCAGAATTTCAATACCAATTTCCTATCTGATGAGGAAGGTACCCTTAGACAAGTAACTCGACCTCTCTGAGCCTAAGTCTTCCTATTTGTACTGGAGGAGATAATGATGTCTGCTATGGCAGGTGCTCAATTAATGGTAGCTATTATTGAAGGAAAGAATTTTAGGTGGCCCATCACCTAAGAAGTTATTTCTGAGCACAGAACATGATGGAGATCGACCTTTTTCCTGGCTCTTATATTTACATTCCAACATGTGACCTTGTGTCCCTCTTTGAGGCCAGTCACAGGAACACCAGAAACTGAGAGAGCCTGTACCTTCAGAGTGAGTGAAAAGCAAAAGATGGAAAGGAGAGGACCAGACTGGTGGAGCTAGCTCAGCATATGGGTGGACACACTTCACGCACGATTACATCAGAGACCTAGAATACTGTCCCCATCCTCAAGTTCTTCACTGTTTTCCCTTTGACTCACCAACTGAAGCCTCAAGCTTCACAGGCATGTATGGCCTGCAGGTACGCCAGGTTCTGCCACTGGTCTGGGTTTCCTCTGCTAGCGCCCTCTGCCCACCATGGGGACACCTGTGTAACAGGTTTGCCTCTCTTTCTTACCCCTGCCCTCCCTCCTGAGAGATTGCCCATATGCTAAGTTTATTCAAGGTGAAACATACTTTTCTTAAAATCACAAAATTTTATGTCTACTCTGCATTTGAAAACCAGTATGTCAAAAGCCATTTAACTTACTTTGGCAGCAGCTACCTTAACCATTCTGAAATACTGTAAAAAAAATGCACTAATGAGACAGTCAGAAAATTAGACATTAGTTGAGACATAGGTTGAGAGCTATCATGTGCCAGCTTTTCCCAGTTACACCATTATCACATAGTGGAGGGAAGAAGGGAGAAAGAAGAGATGGGGGGTACTTGGGGAATACAGAGAAGATGTATATTTAGCAATAATTAAACATCAAATTCAGAATGTCAAGCATCCTGAAACTAATGAAAGGGCAAAATTTGCCTTCCAAAAAGGCAGCTCCATTCCTAATCAACGAAAGGGGGGAAAGTATCATTGTGTTTCCATTTCCCATCAGAAAACCTGATTCTTTCAATATTAAATGCAGCCGGCTCCTGCACATTTGTTTGTTCATTCCATTTCAGAACAAAAATAATCTTAGACACTGGGAAACAAGGAGAACACAAGTTCAGAGAAACAACAGGCAGTATTAAGTGTACTGCTTACCAGTGTATTTTTTAAATATTATCACCAAATAGTATTTTTAAAATGTTCACATACAAAAGCAGCTGAATACTATGTTTTGAAGGCATCGACCTCCCTGTGTTAAATAAATTAGCACAGTGGTTTAAATGTCTGTGGTCTCATGTGCTGGTTGTTTTCCACAGTCTCTTAGGTAACAAGTGCTGCTGCTGCATTGAAACTTACCAACATTCCCAACTTTCAGAACCAGAAATGTGATTTAGTAATGACACACCTAACTCTAGAGGAGTCAAATTCCTTTATAAAGAATGTGAATGTTTATCCAAAATCATGAGATTTATGGTACAGCACAACTAAGTGAACATAAAATTGGAAATAAAAGAAAACAACTACATGTTTTAATCTGTTTGGAAGACTTCAAGTATTGCAGCAACAGGGCAAGTAATTTTCTTCTGGAAAATATATAATGATGTCATTATTTTGGTACTTGTGACTCCAGGATGGGGGAAATGGAATGGAGACAAACACTTGCTGAATGCAACAAATAGGTGGCGCTGTGGCTCATAGCAGATGTGGACTTCCAAACCTTGGGCCATCTCCAAGATTAAAATTTCAGAACTAGAAAGTTAAACAGGTTCCTTTAAAAAAGCATCTGGCTCATATAGAGCTAAATTTTTGCTTCGGCAAACAAGCTTACAATCTCTAAGGTGTCCACTATTTTCTTTAAGTTAAAGAACATTTTAGGTTAATATTTTGATCTTTAAGCTTCTGCAAGGCTTGTCATTGACTTTATGGTTTAGAAAAATCAAATTGTAGTTCAGCATTGGCTTTCTGAAACTGAGTTAATAACTATGCTAACTAATCACAAATTTTGGTTTAGATACCTATGGCTAATTGCCAAAATTAATTCCACTTGGGAAAGGAGCCTTTCTTTTCTGGTTAGAAACACTTGTGCTTGGCCTCAGAAGTCTTTGTGCCCATATCTTGGCCTCACCCCTTGCTGACTGCTGTGGCTTCTTTGACAACTCATTTGTCTGCGATTCACTTTTCTTCTAGGCTACAAGGAGGTTATCCTATGTGGTATTCTAGGTTTTTCCAAGCCACACGGGAAAACTTGTCTTTAAATGTCTGTCTCTCCTACCTGTCAATTTCTATTTCTTCTAGTTTTAAGTTTCCACCACTATAATGTGAAAATCAAAATACCTTACCTCAGCCGATAGGTTGAGAGGATTAATTTGATGGATTGCAGCAGTACAGCAGGCGTAGTGGGGTGGTGCTTAGCAGCTATTAAAAATTATTACTATCCCCTCACTTCCCTACGTAGCCAACAAGACACATGAATGCAAATTATATGCCAACAATTGGTAAGTGAACCTCTTATAGAGCATTTTGTTGTAGGAGACCTTCGAAGTGATTAATCTACCCAGGCATTCACTGGTTGCTCCTTCACCTGGGCAGAAGACAAATAAGGTCTTTAAGGCAGGGCCCAGACCCCAAATAAGTAATGAGTTTTTCCTGGAGATCCTTAGGTTGCTCCATAAAGCAGCAAAAATCTCACAAGAATGTTGAAAACGTTGAGGTGTATTCTCTGTTGCTGATTGAATTAACACTGGAAAAGTACCCACAAGGCAATTAACGATCATTTACCCACTCAAAAAGCATAGCAAGATTTTCAGGATTGAGGAACCCACAAGGGGGCTGACAGAATGAGTAGCTGACTTATCTTTCTAAGAATTCAAAATTACTGGTCTCACTGATTAGTAATGAGAAGAGTAACCTCTGGCTAAAATAGTATATTTGAGCCTCGAGGTAACTTTTAGGTATGTGAATGCTTTTCTTTCGGGTAGATCTTTTAAACCTTGCTAGCCAAGAACAGTGCTAGCTTCCTAAAATATAAGAGAGAGAAGAGAAATCGAGATGGACAGAGGGCAAGCACATACCACAGCGTTTTGAAACTCTCTAGCCAGAGTTGAATCATACCTTTCCTTTCTCTTCCCAGGGGCGGGCCACTTTTTGCCTGGCGCTCGGTGCCTCCCTTCCCAGAGTCTCCAAATAGGGAGACACAATTCCGAGGCAAAACAAATTGGTAGGACTTTATCGCTTCGGATAGTTTAGCGAGAACTGCCTTTCAGAGACACCTGGAGCCAGAAGTTACTTTCCAAGCGTCTGGGGCTCCCCGGACGCCTCTTGGGACAGCAAGGCTTGCAAGTCAAAAGGACCGCCTCGAGTGGTCTGGTCGGCAGCTAGCTCCAGTCACTGGGGTCGGATGACATTTCGCACCCAGCCCCTCCACTCAAGGCCGGCCCGCGCGGTGACCGAAACGTATAAACTTGTCCAAAACCAGGAGCTCCAGTCCTGTGTAAACACTACGCCGGCCCCTCCCCAAAAGACCCTCTTTGATGTCTCCGCTGTAATTATTTATCTTACATATAAATCAGGATTCTGCTGACAAATCTCCGTGTTTTTGCTAACCAGAAGGCTGCCCCTGCAAAGCCCTTCTCCTGGTGATTTCGTTTAAAGGTACGATAACATCTGACATTTCCATAAACCCGCCCAGGAGACGATTAACGGGATGATTTGTGTGATTCCCCCGAACGCACGTGGGCTCACCAGCTCCACAGGCGGGCACTGGGAAGGGACGCGGAACCCACAGCAGTTGTTTTGCAGCCAGCGGGGCTGATGGAGAAAGATGCCAAACGCGCTTCCCGAGCCAGCTGAACTCCGCGGGCACCTAATCATTGCCAGATGTGGGGAGGACGCACCGAGAACATCCCGGAGTCCGGTAGAAAACACCCGGCCGGCAGCACGTCGATTTCTCCCCAGGGGAAAAGGCAACTGCCGGGCGGAAAGAGGTCCGCAGAGTGAGTGGGGTGCGCAGCAGGGTGGAAAGCGCACTGAGGGGAAGGATGATGCCTCCACTCTCCACCGCATATTTTTTTAATTAAAAAGTTAGAAACTGGAATCCGTAAACAACGACTCTGAGCTTCAAACTACTTTGCAGAGACACGATAGGGAGAATGCTTAAACGCTTCCGAACCCCACCTCTAGATCTCCTGCGCAGCCCCATTCCGGAGCCCGGGAGCGCCCAAGTGTGCACACATGTACCCCCCCACCCCCCGGGCCAGCTCTCCCCGAAACACAACTCTGAGAAAGTTCGCGTAAGGATGCACCTCCGCCCCCTCCCGCCCGGCCCGATGCCCCACGCCGGCAGCCGCCGTCCTACCTTTCATGGTGACCGAGGAGACGCACCACCAGCCAGAGGGCTCCGCGCCAGCAAGAAGTTCGCGCTGAGCAGCGGGTCACTGTTTGCCCATGGCAGCCGCACTGCGCGTTGTCCGTCTGCTTGGGAGCCCTCCCTATCCGCCGCCGCCGGCCTGCGCTCCCCGCTCCGCGCTCTGTGCCGCGGGGCTGCCGCG